CATTTTGATAAGTTTGAAGAAAGTTTTACGACTGAATTGAACTGGTTGTCTTCGTTCGTTAACTCGTTTCTCAATATCTGTTTCTTGTTTTTTTTTTTTTTTTTTTAACGCGGATAGATTAATTTATGAAAGGATTTTTCGGTTTATAATAATGAGGTAAAGAGGAAAAGATTAAGCAACGACGTTTTTATCATCGTAACTCGTATAAAAGTAATAAACCGGTTGTTAATGAACACGAGTTTCTTGGTGACTTCAGATTTGAATAACACGCGACTCAACTAACTATTTTTCTCTCTCTCTCTCTATTACTCTCTTTATCTATTTATACTCATCTATTTCTTTTTTACTCTATCTATTTAGGTTATTCGTGTTAAGATCCTATGATCAATTGAAGGAACGAAGAAAGTAAGGAATGTACGATCCTCTAAGTTATTAAGATTCCATGCTCGGTATCAGAGATTTCATTCATTTTCGCGTAAATGATACACGCGTTATCGTTAATTGACATTTTCGTTGTTCTATCATCAAGATTAGTATGTTCCTAACTTTGTTTTTTTATATATTATATAACACAAAAGTGTTATAAGGTTTGATCATTAAATTAATAACACGAGCGCAACATACGTATAGCAAATAATACAAACAATTTACTGATAAATCAATGAATTTATTTATATATAAATAAATAAACGATACTCTTGTTAAAAATAATATACGAATTACCAATTGGAATTGTGGAAAATTAGAAAAGATAAAGATTGGAAAAAAGAAAAAAAAAATATCGTTTCTTCTTCGATCTCGATCTCAGAAATGAGATTTGCGATTTGTACGGAAGGGGAGGGAAAAGGATCGAGTTATCTCGAGGAAGATAATTAGTTTCTGTTTTCTTCATCCCCCTTTTATTTCTTTTTTCCCCTTTCCTTCCTTCCTTCCTTCCTTCCTCTTCCGAGGACGTAGCAATTTTCTTATCCCTTCCGCTTCCGTAGGCGTCGTGTAATCGCCCGAGGGACTGTCCTCGGCCAGTATGCCAAAAATAGACAGGTTAAGATTGGCATACAGGTGCTTCTAAGATATCTCTTATCTGTCTTTCTGTTTCTCTCTCTTTTTTTGCTTCTTTTTTTTTAATTATTTTCTCCCCCATTTCAGTACTAATCAAAATATCATCAATAAAATTGATAATGATTATGATGATAGAATCATAATAAAACAACTTTAATTGCGTAAAAGACAAATATGGTGATAGGACGTTTGAATGAAAAAAAATTCTCAATTACACTTCGGTAAAGTTTTGCTGTTGCTGTTGTATTCACGTTGGGTTTAGTGTGATGTTGACTTTAAATTACAATTCAAATTCCCCCCTCTCCCTCTACTCTAGATATTAATTTCTCTTTAAACAAATGTCAACAGGTGAAATGTAATAATAGATCGTTTGAGATAGAACGTAGAACGAGTTTTTACTATTCAAAGAAAAATTAAATCTCGAAGAATAAACAAACAAACAAACAAACAAATAAGAAATAAAAAAAGAATACAAAATAAGGATAGGATATATATTTTTTTTCAAAGATTCTTTTTCTTCCAACGCAATTTTCTTAACGAGAACTTAGATTGATAAAAGAAATAAGAGAATTGTTGTAGAAAAAACGAGATGAAATAAAATAAACGAAGAAAACGAGGACTGCGGTGGGGGTTGGGGGGTTGGGGTGGGATTCCCATGGAAAATACTTCGTTTAATGACGTACCCACGCATTTGAAAATAAGTCGAATACACTTATAAGCATCAAATGTCGAGAAGACGACGACGACGACGACGACGACGACAAGCTACTACCTACCTTTCTCAGCTATTGTTAGCCATTTCTAAGCCCTGACAGAAGCTCGATGATGATTCGTTTGTTACGTCTGGCTGCAAAATTTCAAGCCTAAGCTGGGAATCGAATATCTCTCTCTCTCTCTCTTTTTCTCTTTCTGAATGAAAGTTAAAGTAAAAGGAACGACGAGAGAAAGAGAAAGCTCGACCAACTCGGCTCGATGAGCTTATTCATACTCATCGTAATCGAGAATATGATGAACCATGCAACGACGCACATCATTCGACTCTTTCTCCACCCCCTACTCTTCTTCTTATTATTTTTCATCTTTCTTCGAATGATAATATCTCTTATTCGTTGCAATTTTTATCTCATTACGGACCTTTATATTCGAATCGTTTCCTTTCTATTTTCTTTATCAACCTTCTATACGTTCTACGTAAGACGTATATTAAATTACGTTAAAGTAACTTTAAGTAAATTATATTGTTCTATGCACACACACACACACACACACCCTTTATATGATACGATGATTATTCGTATAACTTTAATTCATTTTTATATATCTTATATAGTATGTTTTTTGAAACATTGATTTCATTTATAAATAAAACCGTTCGTCGTTTTTTTTTCTTAATTTCTAATTACAATAAACTCGTGATTAATTATTATTACAACACGTTATTAATAATAAATTCAATCTATATAAGATTATAATAAACTAATGAGTATATATTAGAAATGTTTAATAATAAAAACGATACATGAGATTAAAATCTTAAATCATCTCGATTTGATGCGAAAAAAGATAAAACAGAATTAAGAATAATAATAATAATAATAATAATAATAAACCTTGATTAACGTTAAAAACGTTGAAAAGATTAGAAAAGATGAGAAAAATCGGTAATAGGTACTACTCTCTCGCCGAAAGTTCAATTAACCGCGCCCTTTTTCCAGCAAGGGGTGGTAGCGAGGGTGGGTGGGGGATAGAAGGTGGCTAACGTTGATTAATGGCGACCAAGCGACATTTGGCCAGTTCAGGAGTCACCGGAAGCAGACCGTTAACGTCGCACCAGGTTTATTGTATTTGCGTTCTTCGTGCAAAGATCTACCATCACCACCCCCCGCCCTTTCACTTCCACCCCTTTAACTCCCGATCGTAGTTCGTGCTTGGCTCGACGAGAAGTGCACGTCAAAGTGCCCGTCACTCGAGACAACGCGATTCCACCCTCGTTTTCGAACTAAATGGATAGCTCGAGTGAGTGAATTCAAGAGAGAGAGAGAGAGAGAAGGAAAGGGAGAAAGCCCTTATCACGATTTATCCTCGTTAATTTGGATGGGTCGTTCATTTGGAAGGCCTATCTCGGAACGTAATACCGATGAAACAGTTTCTCTTTCTCTTTTTCTCACTATTTGTCTCTGTCTTTTGTTCTATATATATATATCTATCTCTCTCTCTTTCTTTCTTTTTCTTTAGTTCGTTCTATTTCTTTTCCGAGTCTCTATCTTTGTCCTACCCTCGAAGAAAGGGGTAAGGTGTAACCTTCTAACTAATGAAACGGTTCGGATGATGCTTCAATTAGAACCGTCGGTGACACGCGTGCAATTGCATTTCTCCGGCTAGTTCTCTCTTCTCTCTCTCTCTCTCTCTCTCTCTCTCTCTCTCCCCCCTTTTCGGTGTTAACTCTCGGTGCTCCCTACATAATTAAATCCCTACACGACCTTAATTCGGATTCGCTCTCGTCGCACGTCCATCCTCTCGCTTTTCCTGGTATTATACAGTAGGGTGTCTGTCTTACTCGAGAATTTTCCTTTTCTTAAAGTTATTCGCAATATATGTATGTGTGTGTGTTTGTATGTAAGTAGATCGAAGAAGAACTTTAAGAGAAATGTTAGTGAAAAAAATGATTCTGTTACACGTTTAACGGAATCCTGGAAGAAAGATATAACACGAAAAAAAAGAAAAAATGTATATTTGCATTGAACAACATTGAGTTTATACGGAAGCGCTTTTTTTGTGATTGAAATGAACGAAAAGGAAAACAATAGGGGGGCATGTAGGAGGATATGATTTTTTTTCTCTCTTTTTTGTTTTTTTTTTTTTTTAATATTTTGTTTCTCGATTGTCCTTTAGAACAGACTATCATTTTTTGATCTATCCGGTGGCCGTTGTTGACACCGCGAATGCAACGAATCGTGAATTTTGGATAACGGGGATTAAAAAAAATAAAAAAGAAACACCAGCCGCGTTTATCCGCGACTAAACTGTCGGGATTTTACAATGTTGTATATAAAAAA